CACGTGGACCAAGTGGGGCTGAGGTGAGCATGCTACCATGAAATGTGTCTGACTCCGTTATTTCAATCTCTCATGCTCTCAATGACTTTAATATAATATTTATATATCTCAACAGTACAATTATGCCTATTGAACTCGTGATTAGTGTGGGGGCACTCCCTTCCAACCACACCTACCTATATAGGATAGATACAGGAGGCATGCCCAAGGAGAGAGCAGCAGGACCAGCAGTCCTGGGGAGACCTGGGAGGTCAGGGTGGTGGAGGAAAGGGGTGGTGTGCAGGCTGCGCCATGGACAGGGGAACAACTGTGGTGTTGAAGTCAATATGAAGGAGGAGATAGGGATCTGGGTGGGGAGAGTTGTGTCTGAGCAACAGCAAACTAGCTAAGAGGAGGTACCAAGAGGCGGAAATAAGGAGAAAATGGCAGTGGGACAGGAAGAAGGTAAAAGGAAACAGAGGAAGGACCAAGGAAGCAAAGCAATGGATAGAGGTATAAACAGCAGTATACATTAATCCACAAAAATAGAGGTATTGACCCATGTACATACATTTATACGGCAATATACTGAGCTAGGGGGTGGACTTTGGGCCTCTGCTCATACCCTCCCTCAATACAAGAACACTTTGTTCTAACCAATCTGCAGTCTGAGATGTCACCCTCCCGACACAATGGGTGCATAAGCAAAAGTGAAGGAGGCAGATGGTGTCCAGCTATTAAAAGATATAGTGTCTGGGGTCTTAAAGGCTTGAAGTTACACAAGCTGCCACTCAGCAGTGAAGCAACAAGTCCACATGGAAGAAGCACACTGCTGGTGCGATCATGAGGAGTCATAGGGACTGGGTAATAGGCATCAGCAGACACATAACAAAAGCATATTGTTGAGAATGAGTGGGCTGGAGCAGAGATCCTAAGCCCATCTGTAGACTGTAGAACAATCTCCCCACAGAGGGGCCACAGGGAAGGGATGAGTCACCAGAACATGTACACAGGTATAGAATGGGATGGGAGCTCATGACACACAGAATCTAGGAACAGGAGTGGGAATAGTGATACCAGAAGGGTAGGAGGAAGTCGGGGAGAGGAAGAGAGAAAGGGGGAACCAATCTCAATGATCAACACATAACCATACACCCTTCTACAGGGGGAAGAACAACAGAAAACATGGGGGAAGGGAGACAGCAGTTGGTGTGAGAAATGAAAATAATAACAATGTACAATCTATCAGGGGATTATGAGGGTGAGTGGGGGAGGGAGGGGGGAATAAAAAGAGCTGATACCAAGGGCTCAATAGAGAGTAAATGTTTAGAAAAGAATGAAGGAAACATATGTATAAACATGCCTGATTCAACTGATGTATGGATTGTACGAGCCCCCAATAAAATGATTAAAAAACAACTTGTGTGTGGCCATCTAAAGTACAACTAGTCATCTCTCACTGTCCAGAGGAAAGAAGAGTGATCCAGACCAAAGACACTGAAATAGTGCAATGGACTAATGAATGATTTGAATTATCAGTCTCCATAACCCTGAGACCAGAAGAACTAGATGGTGTCCAGCTACAACTACCAACTGCTCTGACAAGGATCACATTGGAAGGTCCTTGATAGAGTGAAAGAAAAAAAAAAAGGTTAAAAAAAAGTCAAAGTTATAAGAAAAGACCAGAATTACTGGTCAGATAGAAACTAGTTGAAATCCCAGAAACTGAGCCGATGTTTCAAGAACGATGAGGGCAATGAATGTACAAATGTGCTTTACACAACTGATGTATGTATGGATTATGATAAGAGTTGTATGAGTCCCTAATAAAATGATTTTAAAAAAAAAAAAAGAAAGAAAGCTGAAGATGAAAGCCCAGAAACTGTGGCCCTTAGCCAACCTTCAGGTCAGGAACTGAACTCACCCTTGCGGCTCAAGGCAAGGCAATAGACAAGTGTATACGGGGAAGAAAAATAACACTAGGGAGATACACACCTTGCAACAATCAACGATTTGAGATCCAAAGGACAGTCTTCACCCAAGGGCAAAGTTCAGAGGAAGAATGGAAATGGAAGACAGGGAGGAAGTGGTATAAATGATGTTACATTGTGACAGTTACAATGACATGAAATAAAATGTATATGAATGGAAAACAGATTTGCTCTATAAGCTACGTACTTCACAACAAAGTGTTTTAAAAGTTCTCCCTTATAGACTACAATTATTATTTTTTTGCACAGTGGCTGCAACATTGGGCTTATTGTGAGGATGATGCAGGACTGGGCAGTGTTTCATTCTGTTGTACATACAGTTGGTTGGAGTTGGAACTGATTTGATGGTACCCAACAATAATATAGACAAGTCAAGGATATTGCTGGCCTACCCCACCCACAGTTCCACTCGAAGGTCAGCCCTTTGTTAGCAATGATCACCAGGTGTCCACTGGACATTGTTGACTAGAGCCTGGATGCTCTGGACCATTGCCTTGGGGGGACACCAAGGTAAATTAGTGTCAAGGAGACTGTCTGGGGATCCTGTTGTTGGTTAATCAACCCAGCGGTCAACCTTTTATTGATGACGTCAGTGTGCGCGCGCGCGCGCGCGCATGCGCGCGCGCGCGCGCACACACACACACACACACACACACACACACGAATGCACTGGGCCACTTAGAGGGTCACTATCAGGAATGTGAGCAAGAGCTGCAGAGAAAGAGAGGGTCCTGTTAGCTGCAGGAGCTGGGAGAAGCCATTCGGTAGTTTGGGTCCCAGCAAATCAAAGGTATGAGGAAGCAGAGCTCTGAGTGTCAGGGTATACCAGCCTCTAACACATCATCAGAGGTCTGGTAGGCTCAATTGTACAGCGATGATAAGTAAAGATTATAGTAAAGTCATAGAGGGCATGGGAGATAGAAGAGAGATTGAAATAATAGAGTCAGACACATTTCATCGTAGCATGCTCACCTCAGCCTCACTTAGTGGTCCATGTAGCGAGAGAGATTTTTATTGCTAACCAAGGCTTTTATATTCTCTGGGGATGTGTAAGCCCCCTAATTACAGATGAGGACATAAGTCACAGGAAAGGGTTGTGCTATAGGTAATACAGTAATGGGAGGGAGGTGATCTAGGGGTATTCATGCAATAGGAAGGGGAGGTAATAGGGGTACAAATGTGACAAGATGGGAGGATCCCAGATTCAGGATGGCAGCCTAACTTTGGATGTCACTGAGCTAGTTTGACCTGTTCTCTGGCTCACTATAGAAACCATTATCAGTAGGGTGTAAACCCACCCTGCAGGGACCAAACTGATGACTGCAAGCCTTTAGGGAGAAGTAACCCATTGTCCCTAACAGCAGGGAGTAGGCCCTATTTGTGGTGGGACCAGACAGTAGTCTGGCAACTGACTGCTTTTTGGGGAGACAACTTGGGAGAAATCATTCTGTTTCCCACATCTGAGGACACAGGAGCCAAGAGGAGAGCCAACTGTGTACAGAACACAGGGTAGATGATTGAGGTCAGAGGGAGGGAGAGCAGAGCAGATGACAGCAGGGAGCTAGTGGCCACCCATGCCAGGCTGCCAGTGGGGGTTCTAACTCACCTCCTATTATTGACTACAGCCCATCACAAGCACAGGTGGGGTGTGTATTTACAGAGCACTTCCTGGAGGGCTGCTAGCACCCATCACCTCTCCTCCTGCAGCCTCTCTCAACAGCCAGTTCTATGATACCACCCCCACCCCAGATGGTCCTGCTGTCCTGCTAGGGACATCTATATGGCTACAAACAGCAGGGTGCAGGGAAGAGGTTGGAATTCAGGGAACTAAAATGGAGCAACAAAATGAGAGGGCCCGGAAGAGACATCAGAGGTGCCAAAGGGAAGCAGCTATCTTTGAGACAGTGTTTCTGTCCATCACACCCTCACCTTGGTGTGTTATTCACGGGACAAGTAAAATGGTGCCTTGGGTGCACTCTGGGAGATACCGTTGTTTTCTACAGATCTTGATTGAACTGTGGGAAACAGAAAGATTTCTCCCAAATTGTCTCCCCCAAATATATGCCAAACCCAGGATGCTACTTGCTACACAAAATAAATGACTGTACACTAGGAGGTCAACGAAAGGTTATTCTCCTTAAGGGTATCCAGAGCAACCAGACTGTATAATCTGACTCACTCTCAGTAGGGCCCACTCCCTTCTGGTATTGTTCCCTTGAAGGAGTGCCCGAAGGCAAGCTCAGGACCCCTCAAGGATGACTAAGCTTTGGCTACTATATTGAGTCTAGGGTCCACCCATCTTGCCACATATGTACCTCTATTCCCTCCCTTTACTATTGCATGTACACCCCTAAGTTGTCCCCTTCCTATTGCTTGTATTGCCTATGTCACAGCCCCTTCTCATGACATAAATTGTTATCTGTAATCAGAGGGCTTGCATGCCCCCAAAGATATATAAGCTTTGGTTAGAAATAAAACCTCACGAGAGCTCTCTCCTACCCTCTCATCCCCCACCTTCACGTGTACCACCAAGAGGAGCTGAGGTAGCATGCTAACATGAAATGTGCCTGACTTCTTTATTTTACTCTCTCTCCCATCTCTCCTATTTCTCTATGACTTTACTATAATCTTTACACACCTTAACCGTACAATTGTGCCTACCGAACCCGTGATTAGTTGTGGGGGGGTGGCTACCTCCACATTGAAGTATGAGGAAAAGCACTCCAATGACATCCTTCCTATGTGCCCCTCTAAAGGACATAGAAGGTCATGTAATGTGAAGACCTGCGATGTCTCCACCCATTACGGAACATACACGAAGTACTGCTCTGTTTTTTCTTGTGGTTGTAATTAAAACTCAGATCCCGGTTGAGAGAACAAAGTATATCCGGTGTAGAGAATCGGAGGGGCAGAGGAACCTAGTCACGCTGCTTGTGAAATGTGCAAATGTGAAGACTGACTTCCTCACAATGAAGCGCTCAGAGGTTCCGTGGAGAACCACCCTTTCCGGAGGACGGTGGACGTGGTTTCCTACATGGAGATTTGCTGCATTGGCCTGAGGTCCGGGGAGACCGCAAAGGCACAGCCTGTGCACTTTTTGAGGTCGTCCACTGTCAGGCCTTCCCAGAGCTCTATCAGCGTCAGTCCCCGCTTGGGGTCCACGTTGAACACCGCCTTTTCCGTGATGATTCGGTGCACACAGCGCTTCCCTGTCAGAGGCATGGTACACCTGTCCACGATTTTGGGCTCCTTTGCCTTTGAGCAATGTTCCATGGTGACCACCACTCTGGTTTTGGGACTGGACACTAAGTCCATGGCACCTCCCATTCCTTTCACCTTCTTCCCGGGCACCATCCAGTTGGCCAGGTCCCCATATTTGGAAACCTGCATTCCTCCCAGTAAGGTCAGATCGAGGTGGCCCCCCCGAATCATGGCAAAGGACTCATCACTGGCGAAGAAAGAGGCCCCAGGAATAACAGTGACTGTTTGCTTGCCAGCATTGATGAGATCAGCATCTACCTCATTTTTTAATGGGTACGGCCCCAAGCCCAGGATTCCGTTCTCACTCTGAAGGTGGACAGTTATGTTGGGGCTGATGAAGCTGCTGGCCAGCAGAGGGATTCCTATGCCCAAATTTGCATACATGCCGTCCTGGAACTCCAGAGCTGCCCGTTTGATGATACGGGTCTTCAGATCACTGACAGGGATGTGGTTGGCCTCCCCTTCTTTTCGGACAATTAACTGCTCAATTCTTTTCTCATACTTCTCTCCCTTTATCAAGCGGTTTACATAAATGCTAGGGACATGGATTTCCTCTGGGGAAAATGATCCAACGTCCACAATCTCTTCAACCTCTACCACGGTGGTGTTGGCAGCTTTGCACATAGGCTGGTTGAAATTCCGGGCGCTTTTCCTGAAGATAATGTTGCCCTCACGGTCTGCCTTCCACCCTTTCACCAAAGCAAAATCTCCTGTGATGGCTTCCTCCAGAAGATAATGGTGGCCATGAAACTCCCTCACCTCCCTGGGCTTACTGATGACGGCCAAGTGGCCATCGTCATAGTATCTGATGGGTGCACCTCCTTCCTGGACCAGGGTGCCATAGCCTGTGCCGGTGTAGAAGGCGGGCACCCCGGCACCACCTGCTCGGATCCTCTCAGCCAGTGTGCCCTGGGGCGTCAGCTCCAGTTCCAGCTCCCCAGTCAAATACTGGTGCTCGCAGAGGGCATTGTTCCCCACGAAGGAGCAGATGATTCGGCGGATCTGCTTGCTGGCCAGTAAGAGGCCCAGACCGAAGTCCTCCAAGCCCACGGTGTTGCTGACCACGGTGAGGCCCTTTACATGGGTCTCCAGCAAGGCCCGGATCAGGTTCTCCGGGATCCCACAGAGCCCGAACCCGCCCACCAGGACGGTGGCATCTTGAGGGATGTCCTTGATGGCCTCTACCGCGTCCTCGTAGAATTTGGCTGGTCGGCGGCGGTGGGGGCTGCTGGAGAAGCAGCGTGCCCACGTTGTGGCCAGGCTGGGCCGCCCACCGTGGCCAATGAGGGCGCAGAGCCGCCGCCCAGTGGAAAGGAGGCGGAGCGCAGTCATGTGGGGTGCGTGGTCTCAGGTCCAGTTGGAGGCGGCCAGGGCGGTATCCGGAGCCCGACTAGGGGCGCCCAGGTTTCTGCCACGTCACAGAGCCGAACGCCGTCACAACACCCCTGTGATGGGAATGACGGCGTAGAGGCAAAGGGGCGATTCTCTGCGTACTGTAGTGAGGACATAAGCACAGAGAGCCCAAGGACACACCAAGCCACATGGCAGGCAGACGGGCAGGCAACTGGAACTGGGTGATGGCGCTCTGAGCCGCCTCCCCGCCACCTCCATCCCCCATCCCCCATCCCAGGTGCTGCTCACGGATCCGTGCACTTCCGGAGAGAGGATTCTGCGCTGGTGTTCCCGGCCCCACTGGAGAAGGTGCTGCCCTGTGGCTAGTCTCGTCCCAGACACACACACACACACACACACACACACACACACACACACACACACACAGCCTCCATGTGCCCCCAGAGCGTAGCTGAGCATAGGGCCTCTTCCAGTGAATGGGACTCAAAGCCCCTTCTGTCTCTGGCTGAGCCTGTGGGGCCACTGCCATAACCAAGTCCTTGGGGGTTTTCCCTAGACCTGACAGTATCCTTCAAACAGACACTGAGGTGACATGTTGACACTGATACGGATGAACAAGGCTGGGGGTGGGGTGACACTGTCTCTCACTGCACACTGACCTTGTTTAATTTCTTTGAGAGCTCCAAGAGCCAATACCTGTTCCAAATCACTACATACCCCTGGAAAAGCTCAAGTTCAACCCTGGTTGCACATGCAGAAATTGTGGACATGGTGTAAATTCTGCCCTGTATAATCTCAACAACAAAAATAAAGTACAAAAAATAAGTAGGTGTTTCCCTCATCTGCACACTTAGCAATAAATATATCCTAACAAGTCTACCTCCACAAAATATTTTGATCTATCAATTATCTCCATCCCAGCTGCTCCCAACAAGTGCCTACAAGGCTCACCTGCACCAACCACATGTGGCTCCCAGCTGGGTCATGCTCTATGCTGAAGTCCCATATTTAAATAAACGTTGTCTCTTAAAATAGTTTAAGTTTTCAGAAGCCTGGCAGACACAGAATCCGCAAATGCCTGGCACTCAGTGTCCCCTGCTGTTTTTCCCCCAATCATTATTAAAAGATCACTTCATTGGGAGCTCTTACAGCTCTTATAACCATCCGTACATCAATTGTATGAAGCATATTTGTACATATGTTGCCATAATTATTTTCCAGACATTTACTTTCTATTGAGCCCTTGGTATCAGCTCCTTTCCCCCCCATCCCCCTGTGACCCCTTGATAAATTATAACTTATTATTTTTATATCTTACACCAACTGCTGTCTCCCTTCCCCCGCGGTTTTGTTGTTCGTCTCTCTGGAGGGTGTGTGTGTGTGGTTATGTGCCTATCATTGCAATCTGATCGGTTTCCCCTTCCTCCTCTCCTCTCCCCACCTTCCCCCTACCATTCTGGTATTGCTACTCCCATTCCTGTTCCTGGATTCCATGTGTCATGAACTCTTGTCTCTTATCTGTACCTGTGCCCTTGCTCTGGTCTAGCCCACAGTGAAAGGTAGTACTGGGGTCATGATAGTGGTGGGTGAGGAAGTCTCAAGGAACCAGAGGAATATTGTGTGTTTCATCTGTGCTTTACTGCACCCTGGTTGGCTCATCCCCTTCCTTGTGGCCCTTCTGTGAGGGGATGTCCCATTATCTACAGATGGGGTTTGGGTCTCTGCTCTGACCACCCTTGTTAGCAACAATGTTTCTTTGTTTGTGGTCTTCTGACACCTCATGACCGCACAGGCTGGTGTGCTTCTTCCATGTGGGCTTATTGCTTCTCTACTAGATAACTGCTTCTTTAACATCAAGCCTTTAAGACCCCAGATGCTATATCTTTTGATAGCCGGGCACCATCAGCTTTCTTCACCACATTTGCTTATGCACCCATTTTGTGCCTGGAGGGTGTGACAGTCACATAATCTGTCAACTTGTGGAAGGGGTGGAGTCTAGCCTGTCAATTAGGTCACTGCTTGATAACCTCATTTGGAGGTGCTATGGAGATAAATTGCTCACTGGAGGCGGGACACACTCTGCTTCGTCTTTCCTGCTGATAAGACACATGGAACTACACTAGAGCCTTGGAGCTGGAGGAACCATGTGGAGACCCATGGCAGTGCTAGGATGCTTCTATCATCACTGGATCCACAAGATTTTCCATCCATTGGCTGTGATCTTCCTTCATTCGGCGTCATTGCTTGGCTGTGTTAGTACAAAGAGGAATTTATGGACTAGTACAGACATATGGGGTAATATCAGACTTATGGACTTGAGCAGGACTCGGCTTGGATGTTTTCTTAATGTACAATTGCTCTTTGAAAGAAAGTTCTGTCTTACACACATGAGTCTCCCTGGATTGGTTTCTCTTGTCTACCTGGACTAATGCATTATGGTACCTTGGGAGTGGGGTACTAGAGAAGCAAAACATAAAGATGGAGAATGGATGCTTGTTTGACTTCTTCCTCGTGGTAGTTTTTGACTAGCCAGAGGTCAGATAAAGCAACACTGTTTACTCGATTGTTTTCTGGAAAGAATATGGGATGTTAAAGTTTTGATTATTTTGTTTGGTTGTTGTCTTTGGTTATTCCTGTTTAAAAATGGTGAAAATGAATGTGATTAATGCATATTTTGAGCTCAGGGGGCAAAATTGCCCCTTGGATTTCTCAGAGATTATATACTACTTGGTGAAAATGGCTGGCAGAAGGTCAAAATGGCTGACAGAAATCCTGGCTCTGGCTTGATGCAGTCAGAAGCCGAATCCCAAATTTTGTATCAATAGAATAGTTTAGATAAAGATTAAGATAAGCTAAATAAGAACTGAACTTGACTATTTTAAGAATTGAGTTTAGTATCTGATTCTACTTTGTTTATACTGATTTCTTCTGCTTATTATTGTTTATATAGTGATATAGAAATGATTATTGGGAAGTATGAAAATAGAGAGCTTGTAAGCCCACTTGCCTTGATCCATTAAAATTTGATCTTGAAATGGGTGAGGACACACCTGCAAAGAAGGCTCTACAATGATAAGGCCCACCCAGTGTTTTGAGTACTCAGGATATTCAAAGGTGAAGAAACTTGCCTACAGGGCTGTCAGCAGATTGAAGAAAAAAGGAACTTTTTAGCTTTTTAAATTTTGTGCCTGAACCTGAAAACATTTGGAACATGGGAAGGAACTCTCGCTCTAGGGGTAAACTGTTAAAGGAAGCCTGAGAGCAGGCTGAAATGCTTGCTAGGTGACCACCTGGATCCACTTGTTGAGTGGAAGTGAGAGAAACACAGCAATAAAGAGACGGGTTGAGTCTGGCCACTGACACTCATGGACCTGGTTCACAGGGACTAGAGAATATGAGAGTGGGCTGGTTGGTCTGAAGTTCAAGACCTAGCACAAGCGGCTAGGGTTGTTGAGAATTTGTGATAGTGCCCATGGTCTAAAGGCAAGGAGACCAATGGGCACCCTGGTGAGGCAGCCCACATTGAGCTAACCAGAAACCAACCACATGAAGAGAAGATATTTGAGCCTGTGAACTGGTACATATTGTTGCTGACTTTATGGATAGCCTGTCCTGATTTGACTTTGCTTATGGATGCGGACTTCACAAGGTTCTAACTGGAATGAAGATTCTTCACATCAAAGAATATGACTGACTCCTCAGAGCGCTGAGTTGATGTAAGTGGGCAGTATAGAAATTGGATACTCAAAATTAGGCAGATAAAAGCATGAAGTGAATGGCTTACAAAATTTCATAGGTGGGGGAATATATTCATAGGATTAAGATGTACGTGTTACTTAATTGCAATTGGCATAGAATACTGTTTTGTTGTTCACTTATAGAATATTATGTTTAAATGAGGCTTTGGCACATATTGAATTGTATGCATTTTAGTTTTATCCTGTTAGGTACAGATATAATTTTATTATTTTGTTTTACAATTATATATGGCTAAAGAGTTGTATAAAAGTGTCAAGGTGACAAGGAGTGGTCTTGGCAGTCACATAATCTGTCAACTTGTAGAGGGGATGGAGTCTAGCTTGTCAATCAGGTCGCTACTTGATGACCTCATTTGGAGGTGCGATGGAGATAAGTAGCTCGCTGGCGGCAGGACACACTCACCCTCTGCTTCATCTTTCCTGCTTACAAGACAAATGGAGCTATGTTAGAGCTCTGGAGCTGGAGGAGCCACGTGGAGACCCACGTCAGTGCTAAGATGCTTCTACCACCACTTGATCCACAAGACTTTTCACCCACTGGCCTGTGATCTTCCTGCATTCGGTGTCATTCCTTGGCTGCGTGAGTCTAAAGAGGAATTTATGTACTAGTCTCAACATATGAGGTAATATTGGACTTATGGATTTGATCTGGACTGGGCTTGCATGTTTTCTTAATATACAACTCCTCTTTGATATAAAGTTCTCCCTTACACATATATGAATCTCCCTGGATTTGTTTCTCTAGTCTACTAAGACTAAAACAGAGGGTGAGCATCACAGAATGCCAGTTTCTTAGAACAAAGTGTTCTTGCATTGAGGGAGGGTATGAGCAGAGGCCCGAAGTCCGTCCACTACCTCAGTGTATTGCCATATAAATATATGTATTTAGGCCAATACATCTATTTTTATGAATTAATATATTTACATATGGACACACTAATGCTTATACCTCTATCCATAGCTTTGCTTCCTGGATCATTTCTGTTTCCTTTTACCTTCCTCCTGCCCCACCATCCCCTGCTGTTTTACATTGCTTGGGTACATTGGCCACATGAATGAACCCACATTAACACATTATTAACCAAAGGCCATGCTTTATTCAGATTTCACTTGTTACCTCCAAATATCCATTTTTCGTTCCAGGATCCCATCTAAGATACTATATTGCATTTATTCATTATTCTGTTCTTCTAGGTCAGCAGTTTGAAACCACCAGCCACTCCTCTAGAGAAACACAGGGCTTTCTATTCCTATAAAGAATTACAGTCTCAGAAACTCACAGGAGCAGTTCTACCCTGTTACATAGGGTCACTATGAGTTAGTATGGACTTGATGTTATTGAGTTTGTTTTTTTCTTTTGTGGGGGATGTGACAATTTCTCAGATATTACTTGATTTTGATGACCTTTAAGTAATACAGAGTAATTGGTCCACAGCAAAAACCACAATAAAAAGGTATTCATAAAAAAATGATATCACAATTGGGAATAACCCTCACTTTCATATTGCAATGATAAGAAAAGGATCTAATAAGTATTAAACTATGTTACTAAATTTAAAAAATTGTAAGAAGACACAATTGGGGTCTAGCATCAGGTGTAGGAGGAAGACATGGAATGTATGTATGTATGACTATTGCCTCCATAAACCACTGCCTGCTTTACCATGAGACCAGAAGAACTAGATGGTGCCTGGCTACTATTACTGAACATTTTAATCAAACGGTCTGAGTTAGTTAATTGTGCCAGCCTGGCCGATAATCACATGTGGTGCTGGTTGAAAGGCGGAGGGATAAATGGGTGGTGAAGCCTCGCCTTTCTAGTTCTCGGGTCTCTTGTTTTGTGATGGTTGCATCGGGTGCAGCTGCCTTAGCAGTTCCCTGCTTCAGCTTGCAAGATGGATTTCCTACAAGACATCCCCAAGGAGAAGCTGCATGGATTTATCCTGATGCAGCCCTGGGTGCTGGAGCAGCCATGTGGAGACCCCTGCCAGTGCTGAGATGCTTACACGTTCACTGACTCAGCTTTCCTCCTGCAGTCGGCATTATTGCCTCTGTTTTGTGAGGTGAAGGACTTTGTGGACTGGTGTTGGGTATGGGTTAATGTTGGACTTGTGGGCTTGGGCAGCATTGGGTTGGGATGTTTTCGTGATGCACATTTTCTTTGCATAAAACTCTCTCTTATACGTGAGTTGCTGTGGATTTGTTTCTCCAAAGTACCTAGACTAATACACGGTCTATAGGAGAAACCTGATCAAAAGGGGGAACAGAGTTTCAAGTTCTCATGGACTGTCTGGAGCCATTGAGGGTGGAAGAATCCTTGAAACGATGGTTCTGCTATCACTTTTAAAACGTAAACTAAACATTGTCCCCTGAAGCCTTTTTCAGCAACTGAGCAATAAGTTTAATTCAACTAGTAAAATAAGTCTGTCTTGAGCAGTATGCTCCTTTAACAACTATATGAGATAAAGATGACAACTAGAATGATTAGATAGGAATTGTATGGACACTGAAATTATGTAAATAATGGACAAACTTCTTAGAAAGTGAAGGTGAGACTAACATCACTAAATATTACATGCAGAAATTGTATGTTTCGCTGTTATATCCTCAACAGCAGCAATAAAGTCAGTACAATTTAGAAGGGAAAGAGACAGGCCAATGTTTAGGTATTCTGAAGAATGCCCCTCAATTTGCATTTGTGGGAGGCTTTGCTCCAGCTTAGACTGGAGAAAGTGGGTTTGGTGAAGGGCGATCCTTACATGGCACAGCAAGGGCACCTGCTATAGACATGACTTCTCACGTTGACGTGAACCTAGGTCACCAGGCTGGAGAACATCATCAGTGTTCTCCACTGGAAAGTTCCTTTCCCAGGCCCTTTCCATGCTGAGCTCTTTGGAAGCAAGTCACTAAGCACAGGCCACACAAGGGGGTGAGTTCTGTCACCTCCTTGAGGGACAAGTATGTCAGAGGGTTCGTTTTTAAAATTGAATCAGATCTTGCCATCCCCCATTGCTATTAAACAGGGTAAGTTACCCTGAAAACACCACACACCTGCCCTGGTCTACCTTAACTCAAAGCCACCCTGCCAACCTTTCTCAATCTTCTTCCCACGTCTCCCCTCCTGCTCAGCTTCAGCCCCAGCAGCCCTCCTGCTGCTCCTCAAACCACACCAACCTGTGCCCCTGAGGCCTATCCCCTGGCAACCCCCCACTGAGTGAATGGGGAGTGCATCTCTATTCCGTAGGTGAGAAAGCAGAGCCCTGCTGAGGTCAGTACCCTCAAGGTCACCAAGCTAGGCATTGCCGAGCTGAGATTCAGACCCAGACTCAAAGCTGGAGGGAGCCAGCTCTTCCTCCCTCTGCCCCTCTCCAGGGTGGGAGCTCTCAGTGCAGGGAAGGCTGCTCAGCACAAAGACTTGGCCATTTCATAGGAAGGAAAGCATTGGTTCCTTCTCTTAGCAAGGCCAATGTTAGGTCTGCAGAAGCAGAGGAGGGGATCCCCTGGCTGAGGGCCTCCATGTGTTTGTTTGCACGCTGCCAGGAAGCACACTCAAACTCACTGAGCCTTCACACTGGGGAGGGTCTCTCACTCAGTGTCACACCTGGCCCTGGCAAGGCCACCAGTCTGAAAGGGACCTAGGAGAAGCCCGGCTGCCCCAAGCCCGGGCCTTACCATCCTCTGTTTCCACATAGAGGCGGAGTCCCAGGTCCTTGTTACGGGTCAACAACCAGCGGTCACTGGCTGCTGTGACGTCCAACACCAACCAGCCCTCGTCCCCAGCTCGGAGCGTCTGAAGATCCAAAAAGAACAAGTCAGACTCCCTGTGGACACGAAAGAACAATTAACTGAGGCTGCCACAGCTGCACTGTTTCTTGTGCCCACTCAGGGCCATCTGCACAGCGTCTACTTTATTACTACAGCAGGGCCGTGCCTCTACCCATGTACAGATAGGGAAACTGAGGCACGGTGGCCTGACCAAGCTCCCCAGCCAGGTATGCAGCTGGGGCTTTTCAAAGGTGTTAAGAATCTGGCCACTGTATGTTGACTATCTGAAGCTTGTCTCCCCACAAAGATTCCCCCATGTCCTCTGTGCAGTGCCTTCCCTGGGCCAAACACACTGACAAACATGCTGGATATGAGGAGGGAGGGCTGTGCAGAGTCGGGGGAGGCACCTGTTGGACTGCTCCGGGACCACCTCAAACATGCTGACGTGGAGGGTCTGGTTGACGTGGTGGGGGCTCGGCAGCTTATAAATCCGGAACTCAGCAGCTGTGACTGCCTCCCCTGCTGGGATCGGGGTCAGGTCAAACCGGAACTCCTTCCAGTGGGGCTCGTGGTGGCCTAGGGCATGGTCACGCTCCACTGGAAGACAAAGCAAGGCCAGCGTCACTCGGGCACCTGAGTTGGCTGACTCCGGTGCTGTCCCTCCTCTGTCACAGTCTCTGCCCCTGGCTGTTTGTGGGTTGGAGGGTGTCCCCCAACAGAGCTCACAGAGTACCTTCCACTCTGTGCACCACTCCCTGCACACCCGCCTGGCCCTGCTCAGCACCCTGCTGGCTCTGAGCCCACAGACAGATGAGACCAAGGACAAGGCCCTCCCTGGGAGTCAAAGGCTAAAGGGAAAATGGACATCAAAACCAATAGAAAAAAGGGGCCACGTGTCCAGTGGAGAAACCTCGTGGACAGGACACCACAGACTGTATGTCACCAGACAATAGCTGCCCAAAGAGCCTGGGTGGGAGGTGTGTTGGGGACAGTGCTTGGAGCTGACATCTGAGCTGGGCCTTGAGGCTGAGTGTGAACTGTCACTATGTTAGGCAGAGAATGGCAAGAGCACAGGGGCCAGACTGCAGGGGACACCGGGGTCCTGGGAAAACCACCCCACAAAACCAGAGCAAGTAGACCGAGGAGACAGAGGAAGAGCGGAAGGAGCTGGACAGGAACAAGGGAAACGAATGGGCTGACAAGCTCCGTGGGACCCAGATCAGATGCTGAGGGACACGGGAGGGTCCATGGAGTGGTGGAATCTGAAAGGGTTTCAGAGAGGAGGTGACAACTGAGAGCTGGACCTGGAGGGAAGACTCAGGGTCTGAAAGGCAGGAAGGAGGAGGACCTTCCAGGCAGGGGGACTCAGGGCACAGTCTGGAGGCTGTCAGGAGCCATGCAGGCTGGTGGAGTGGGGTCAGGACGAGAGGGTGGTTGTGCCTGAGTGGAAGGCTGGGCTGCCAGGTTCAGCTGTGGGTGGTGCATGCCTACATGGGAACACCGGGGTTTGAGGGGAGACCTCCCTGGGAGGGTCTGTGGAGGCAAGGGTGGGACCTGCTGGGGGTGAGGCATAGGCGGGGCTCAGAGGCAGGGTTGGGGTTACTGGGTGAGTATGGGGGGAAGTCAGATACTTGCTGCCAGACTGCTGTATCATGGGGGGGGGAACCCCGGGTGGGCCTGCTCCCTGATGCTAGAGACAATGGGTTACCTCTCTCTGGAGCCTAAGGCCATTAGTTTGGTTCCTGTGGGCGAAGTTCACACCCAACTGATAATGGTTCCGATGGAGACCCAAAATCAAGTTAAGCTGCTACCAGAAATCTAGGATCCGCCTATCTTGCCCTTGCCGCATGTACACCCCCAATCCCTCCTCCTTCCATAGCGCATATGTCCCTAGATCACCCCCTCCCATCACTGTAATACCTGTAGCACAACCCTTTCCTGTGACGTATGTCTTCACCTGTAATGTGGGGGCTTGCACGTCCCCAACGTCCCCAGAGAGTATAAAAGTTTGGGGAGCATTAAAGTTCGCAACTCCCTTCACATGGATTACCAAGCGGGGCTGAGGTGAGCATGCTGCCACGAAATGTGTCTGACTCCATTTATTTCTATATATCCCTTTTATCTCTCATGCTCTCTATAACTTTACTATAATATTTACTTATTGCTGTACAATTGCGCCTACCAAACCCGTAGTGATTGTGCTAGGAACAGGTTTCTTCTGGCAGGTGAGGCCACATCTTCCCAGCCATGCGGAAATGTCCTGGACAGAGTATTTAGGGCACGCCAGCCTCCTGTTACTTTATAACACCAAAAATCTCAGACTCCAGAAAGCAGGGGTGGGAGCCGCTCAGAGCTTTCCTCAAAGCCCAGCACTGAGATTTTAATTATGTGACTGTGAGTCTTTTTTTAAAGTTCTCTTTGTGGTCACTGGGCTCAGTGTCACAGTCAGGTTTGAAGCGTCCGGGCTGTGTGACCAGAGGCGGATGTGGGCAGTACATCCTGTCCTCACAGTGGGGACTTGGTCCAGTGATGGGCAGGCAGGCAGCTGTGCTGGGCAGGCCGGAGGGCAGACGTGTGTGGGCAGAAGAAGATAGCCTGTAATCCCCCAGGCCAGGACTGAGAGTGCTAGAACGCCTGTGGCTGGCTGTACTTCAGGGGCTGGACACGCAGCAGCTGCCCACCTGAGAGCCAGACTACTTCAGAAGCAGTAGACACAGGGCAGGAGCTGGTCCTTCCCAGACAGGCACGGTCAAAGTCTTTGCTGGGTGATGTGTGAACATGGACACACCTGTGTCCTCCCAACAGACACCCTCCATGCACAGTTAGCGGCCTTGGGGGCTGGGACAGATGCCTGATGTGCAGGGTAAGCCTGACAATTTCGTGTTGTGGGCTGCACAAGTGTGTGTGGGGCAGAGAGGAGGGTCACTTAGCACACCCTCCTGTCGGGCTCCTCCAGGCATTGCTGTGCACATCAGCCCACAGGAGAATGGAGGGGGGTTGTTGGGCGGGGCCTGGGACTCCCTGGGGAAACGCTGACCATAGGCCTGGGGACTGAAGGAAGAGCCAATGAACCTGCCTGTTCCTTGTGTATACCAGGACCTGTGGGTCTTACAGGCAAAAAGCACGCCCAGGGAGAGAGTCTTGCTCAACGGAACTGTGCTCAGCTACACTCCCACCTCGTGGGTTCATGGAGCTGATAAACTGCCCAGGAGGCGAGCACAGGGAGTTGTCCACCCTAGCTGTGCTAGCCAAGCAAATGGGAGATTTTCAGGAAAATGGTGATTCACAACTAAAAGTGATGAAATTTTCTGTAGTGCAACATTAAAATAGAAGTTACTGGAAGGGGACAAAGAGGGTGCCCCTGCCTTTTCAGGATCTGCAGTGTTTCCCTGGTTGTTTCTTTGAATTAGGAACTATATTTCTCAAAAGCAGATGTTGCAGAATAGCATTCACTGGGACCTGGGAAATTCCAGGTAATTACTGGGCAGACTAGCTTTGCTAAAGCACAAAGGCAGTATGGAGAAGTGTATATTGTGCTTATCAGCAGGTCCCACCACTGGTCCCACTGACCACCAAGACTGTAGCTTGAGTCTCATCTATAAATTAATGATAGTCCTTTCTCAGAAGGCCATGAAAGGACTTTGTATAGGACAGGGGCCTTTGGATGGGAGAAGTGGCCATTCATTCAGAGCTGGGAGGGGTGTGTATCGCCAGTGTCCTAACTTGATCAGGGCATCAAGATGTGATGACATTCCTCTGATGCACAGATCCAGCAGGAGGCCACCTGAAACACATAAGCCAAGGTTCGGGAAAAGGAAATGTGGTTTTCTTTATATAAATGAAATCATGGATGGAAGAAAATATAGCCTGTAAAAATCTGTGAGTTCAACTGAAAGGTGTTTGGATGGCGTGCTCTCACATGCAGAATTCCCATGAGGCACTTAGCCCTTGGGCCTACCGTGTGCACATCTGCAGGGATCAGCTGTGATACCTGGTCAATGAAAGCTCTGCAAAGCCATATCTGGCTCTGCAGCTGGTTATTCAGGGCCACTTCCTTTCAGTATTCCCTCACCTCCGGCTTCTACTTGCACCTGTAACCAGGACTGGCATCTCCCAAAGACACCTGAGCTGTGAGAGGCAGCCCAGCCACAAAACAAAAGCAGATCTTTTCTTTATAAAAGGACTTCAGTTCCCAGAACATCAGAACTCAGTGGACAGAAACACTCAATCCAGGCTCCTACCTCTCTTGCAGACATGTGGAAATGGCACCCAGGAGCCCTGACTCTGAGGCCCCTTCCATTATAGTGGACCTCCACCATGGTAAAATGTGGTCAGATGTGGTAAAACACTGTACAAAAGCCAGGTTGAAATTGCTGAAAATGCTTCAGAACTCAAGACAGGCACCCAAATACACAGCACAAAACATCTAGGACCGCTTGCCACCCCTCTGTTATCTGCTTGATGGTTCACTGGGTAAAGATGAAGGAATTTATGGGAAAGGCTAAGGTCACTTCTCTAAAATCTGTTGCTGGATGTAGGGGCTGTGAAGTTCATTCCAGGAACCCCTACCACATTCACATTGTGGCGAAGAAGTTTGCTTCTGGTCCTAGCCCAAGTTCTGATCAGGGATTTATCTTGCCAGGGATCCAGGGATTGTCCCTCTGTGGTGGCTCTGGGAGGGATCACTGATGCTGACAGCAAGGCTTATAGGGAGTAAATTATTTCCCTATCAGAAAACCTGGGACAGGGAGTTTTAATGTTGGTGTCCCATACAAGAAGCAAACTTCTTCGCCACAATCTGAATGTTGGGGCACATGGAAAAGATTCCTAACTATGCTGCCTCCTCATGGTCTGGGTGCTTTATAGGAATGTTTTCCCCTGGTCACATACGGTAATATTAATTCATTTATTTCACAGATTAGAAAGCAGTGTTTGTCGTATGCTTGTCAGCATAGACACTGGGAACACTGCAGTTAACAAGACCTCATGGACCTTATAGTTTAGTGGCAATGTTAGACGTTTAGCAAGAAAGTAAACACTGAGAGCTGAGAATAGGAGTAGAGTCAAGCTTGTAAGCAGTATACCTGGCCTCCTCTCCACTCTTTACCTCGCTCTCGCCACCTGCCCTCCCACCAGCCGGCTTGCAGCCCAGAACAACTTCCACCATGGCCACCTCAACAAGTTCCCACTTGAACAAAGGCATCAAGCAGATGTACATGGCCCTGCAAAAAAGTCCAAGCTATGTATATCTGGATCGATGGCACTGGAGAAGGACTACCCTGCAAAACCTGAACCCTGGACTTGGAGCCCAAAAGTGTAGGAGAGTTGTCCAAGTGGAATTTTGACGGCTGCAGCACTTTCCAGTCTGAAGGCTCCAACAGTGACATGTATCTCATCCCTGTTGCCATGTTCTGGGACCCGTTCCGCAGGGATCCCAACAAGTTGGTGTTCTGTGAAGTCTTTAAGTACAACTGAAAGCCTGCAGAGACCAATTTAAGGCATATCTGTAAACGGATAATGGACATGGTGAGCAGCCAACACTCCTGGTTTGGAATGGATGCCAAGGGGACAGATGAATACCCCTTTGGTTGGCCTTCCAATGGCTTTTCTGGACCTCAAGATCCATACTATTGCAGTGTGGGGGCAGAAAAAGCCTACAGCAGGGATATTATGGAGGCTCCCTACCAGGCCTGCTGGTATGCTGGCATCAAGATTGGCAGGACAAATGTCAAGGTCATGCCTGCCCAATGGGAGTTCCAGATAGGACCCTGTGAAGGAATCGACATGGGGGATCATCTCTGGTTGGACCACTTCATCGTGTGTGTGTGTGTGTGTGTGTGTGTGTGTGTGTGTGTGTGTGGAGACTTTGTTATGATAGCAACCTTTGATCCTAAACCCATCCCAGGAAACTGGAATGGTGCAGGCTGTCATACCAACTTCAGCACCAAGGCCATGCGGTTAAAGAGTGGTCTGAAGTACATTGATTGAGGAGTCCATCAAGAGGTTAAGCAAACGGCACCATATCGGTGCCTACAATCCCAGAGGGGGCCTGCACAATGCCCGGTGCCTAATTGGATTCCACAAAACCTCCAACATCAACGAATTTTCGGCTGGCGTGTCCAACGGAGGTGCCAGCATCCTCATTCCTTGGATTGCCGGGCAGGAGAAGAAGGGTTACTTTGAAGAACACTGCCCCTCTGTCAACTGTAACCCCTTTGTGGTGACAGAACCCCTCATCCACACGTGTCTTCTCAACAAGGCCGGCGAGGAGCCCTTCCAATATAAAAACTAAGTGGACTAGACAGACCTCCAGCAGTCAAGCCCCTCCCTGCTCTTCACCCCACGCCCACGTTTCCCCCTCTCCACTAGTTCCTACTAGCTGTAACTCAGAAGACAGAATATCAAAGTCTTTTTTATTCTTCGTACTCCATTTAAAAAAAGAGAAAGTAAACACTCATGATTGTTATATGAGTGTGCTTTAAAAAGTTCTTGGAAAAATTGAATGAAGAGATAATAGAATTTTCCCATGAACCTTTTGAAGCCTTCTTATATGTAATAAGTGCTATGGAGGACATAAAGGGGAGTTGGGGTTAGAATAATGCAGGAGGTGCATGTGGGATTTATGTTAAGTATTTTTTAAAATAATGTTTACTTAGAAACTAACTTGCATGTCTCTTTACCCAACTTGTCCTGATGTTAACATCTTAAATGTTGTTATTAGATGCAGTTAAATTGCCTCTGACTCATGGTGACCCAATGTCCCACAGAACAAAACATTGCCCAGTCCTGCACCATCTCCACTATGATTGGTAGGTTTGAGTCTGATTGAACAACATTCACTGAAATCTGCCCACCACGGGTGACCCTGATGGTTATTGGAAATATCAGTTCATAACATCTAGCACCACAGCTACACAATCAAGCACAGTATGGGTGTAGAACATTTTATATCACCACAGAATAATTATCAAGCTTTCTCCTCCTATAAAGTGTTACAGTCTTGGAAACTCACAGGGGAAATTCTACCCTGTCCTATAGGGTGTCACCATGAGTCAGCATTGACTTAATGAGTTTGGGTTTTATAATGATCAAAATCAGGAAACTAACATTGATACAATACTGAGTTAGTTAATTGTGCCAGCCTGGCTGATAATCACATGTGGGGCTAATTGAAAGGCGGAGGGATAAATGGGTGGTGAGCCTTGCCCTTTCTAGTTCTCGGGTCTCTTGTTTTGTGATGGTTGCACCGGGTGCAGCTGCCTTAGCAGTTCCCTGCTTCAGCTTGCAAGATTGACTTCCTACAAGACATCCCCAAGGAGAAGCCACATGGACCTATCCCGATGCAGCCCGGGGTGCTGGAGCAGCCGTGTGGAGACCCCTGCTAGTGCTGAGATGCTTGTTCGTTCACTGACTCAGCTTTCCTCTTGCAGTTGGCATCATTGCCTCTGTTTTGTGAGGTGGAGGACTTTGTGGACTGGTGTTGGGTTAATGGGTTAATGTTGGACTTGTGGGCTTGGGCAGCATTGGGTTGGGATGTTTTCGTGATGCACATTTTCTTTACATAAAACTCTCTCTTATACATGAGTTGCTGTGAATTTGTTTCTCCAAAGTACCCAGACTAATACAAATACTAAGAATGAAACTGTAGACTTTTCTTGAATTTCACTACTTTACCCACTAATGTGCTTTTCTGTTTCAGGATCCAACCCAGGATAACAGATTATATTAAGTTGTCCTATATCCTCAGTCTCCTTCAACCTGTGACAATTTCTCAGTTTTCCCTTGACTTTCATGACCTCGGAATTTTCAAGAGCACTGGCCAGTTACTTTGTAGAATGTTGCTCAATTTGGATTTATCTGATTTCTGCTGGCATCTAACTCAGGGTTAGATGTGCTCTGAAGAAGAGTTCCAGAGCAGAATGCCAAAGAAGTGAGTGCCTTTCTTAGTACACTAAGTTGGGCAGCATGATATCAATATGTATTATTATCAGTTTAACTTTGATTCCTTGCTTAGGGTGGTATCTGTAGGGCTTTCCCATAGTAAAGATACCATTTGTCCTTTTGTAAATAATAAACACCTTGAGGAAGATACTTTAATACAAAGCATATATCTGTTTTCTTCCTAAACTTTTGCTCATTAATTTATCAGTGTATCTGATTGTTACATTAATTATTAATTATTTATTACATAATTAATGCATTAATTATGACCTGCATTAATTATTACATAGCATTTGCAATAGTGATTTTCTATTTCTTTAATTCTTTCTATATTTAGTTATTGGAATTCTTTTGTAAGGGACACTTGTCTCTTCCTCAATTAAAAAAATATTTTTCTCATGTTATCGGGGATCTTTGATAACATATTTATTTAATGTATGGGTTATACAGGGTTTCCCAAAGTGGCCCTGGTGGAGCTGGAATGATGGAGGGTTGGGGAGGTTGTAAAAGCATATAACTATACTTCATCCTTGTTTAAGGGCTAGTATACTAAAGTTTTTAATTACCAGGGGGTACTGAATAATTTTTTTTCTGAAAGGGGGCAGTAGGGTAAATATATTTGGGAACCTATGGGTTATGATCTAATATTAATGATCTTTTTTTTTTTGTAGCTTCAACAGTTTTAACTGTGGCCATTGGCAGCACCTTCTTGTTGGCTCATGTGCCCTTTAGATATGTCCCCTAACCTCCTTTTTTAGCACTTCTTTGTGTTCTGGGACCATCTTGCAATTTCCCGTCCCAATTCCTGGAATCACTAACTTCTTTAAAGGGCTTGGGATCCTTTAATTGAAGGATGTAGAACTAAAAAAATTAAGTATTTAGTACTAGATATGCTCATTGCTTCTGGATTATCACTGCTCTGGACTTTCTCAGCAAAGAGAACTATGGATTATATGGGAAACCACATAAAGATGGTGCAGGACAGTATTTCATTTTGTTACATGCAAGGTCAGCGTGGGTTGGAGCCAACTCAACGGCACTAATAACACACTGTCTCATAGGCAAGCCACACATCTATATTTATATCTATATCCAGATAAACCTACCTATCCAGATAAACATGAGTTCACACTGATACATTCGATTTTATTCTGATGTGGGGTTACTTTGGATCTGGTTCTTATGAAGGCCTCTTGAGTAAGGACGGACTGGACAGTTTCATGCATCCTGGCAGGGATGAAAACTGGTACAATTATTATGGAGGGAAATTTCAGCATATGTAGCAAAATTATACAAGCTTTCACCCAGAAGCCTCACTTTTAAGGAATGGTCACTAAAACATACAAACATATTTTTCATGTGTATTACAAAATGTCTTAGTTATCTAGTGCTGCTATGAAAGAGAAATTCATTTTTGTCACAGTTTAGAAGGCCAGAAGTTCAAATGCAGAATACTGGCTGGAGGGCAAGGGTTTCTCTCAACAGTGGCTCTGGAGGAAGGACTTTGTCACTTCAGCTTCTATTTCCTGTTTTCTTGATGATCTCCATGTGTCTTGACATCTATCTCCTCCTAACTCTGTTTCTTTTTACTTGTTTAACCTCTTTCATATCTCAAAGGAAACTGATTTAAGACACATCTATATGTCTCATTAACATAATAAAATCACCCCATTCCTAAATGAGATTATAACCACAGGCATAAAACCAAACCGAATCCTCTGCTGTTGACTCTGACTTATAGTGAACCAATAGAATAGAGAACTTGTTAGGTGCTGTAAGTCAGTTGCAACCCATAATGACCCTGTGTACTAACAACGAAACCCTGCCTGGTCCTGTACCATCCTCACAATTGTGCCTATGTTTGAGCCCATTGTTGCAGCCATTGTGTCGATCCATCTCATCCAGGATCCTCCTCTTTTTCACTGCCTCTCTACTTTACCAAGCATGATGTCCTTTTCCAGGACTGGTCTCTCCTGATAACCTGTTCAAAGTACGTGAGACAAAGTCTCACCAACCTTGCTTCTAAGGAGCTATATACTTCTTCCAAGACAGATTTCTTGGTATTTTTAGGTAGCCCATGGTATTTTCAATATTCTTTGCCAGCACTACAATTCAAATACATCATTCTTCAGTCTTCCTTGTTCAATGTCTGTATTAGTCTAGGTACTTTAGAGAAACAAATCCACAGCAACTCATGTATAAGAGAGTTTTATGTAAAGAAAGTGT